ACATCACTAGTGAGAAAAATACCAGTGGCTATGAATAATTTTAAATGCCTTGAAGAAGACAAAGAAATGAGGACAAGCTGAAACAGACTTGTCAATGGAATGATTTTCCAATCTGGAGAAGTGAGGAATGGCTGTCTGGATTGGGATGCTGCAGGATACTGCACCAACGTGGAGAGCGTTGCAGGTTTTGCAGGCTGGTGGGACCCCAGTCGAATACAAAGCAGATGTATTCACATACCTATACAGGTGAGCAGTAGCAGAGCCTGCAGAGTGCAGGAGACCTTCAGGAACAGCTCCTGCACATCTGGCTGGGATGGCAGGTTGTTTCTTCATCCTGAAGGCAAGAGGATAAAGAAAGTATTTGTTGAAAACAAAGACAAACAAGGAAAGCACTTCAGCAATTTGCTGTGACCTTTCACAGTTACACTCCATCCTCTCACTGGCAAGGCCAGTGCAGCAGCTGAGGACGCTGCACATTCCTGGCCCTGTGAGTGCCATGGGTCCATCTCACACCACTCCAGCCCGTGTTTGTACATCCACTCGTGCACGTGCTGCCTGCTCTGTTAGCCAGGGGATGGCTGACACTGAGGGGGTTGTAAATGGACATGCCCTTTGAGGTAATGTTGGAAACATCTGTACCAAGATGAACAAGGGATGAACAGTCACTAAGAGGTGTCTCCAGCAGGGCGCTTTAGGATAAACCTGGGTTGTGCCAGAGTGGAGATGCTGTGTCTGGGTGTAAGAGAAATGCCAGTGCATTTGCAGTCTGAGTATGCAGCTCACCCTGCTTTTTGCTGTGGTCAGTGAACAAGGGATGCCTCAGCACATACTGGATGTATGATAAAGGTGCAGGTCTTAACAACTGGCAAGGAAATGCAAGCCCTGCTCCTGAAGTAGTTTCTAATCCTTACCTTCCAGTTCCAGTTTACCCCAGACCTCAAAGAAGTCACAAGCAATTCTTGGTCCCTGTAGCTCATAGGTGTCTGTCCTGACACTTTTGCCATACCGTTTTCTGTGAGGCTGCAGCAGGAGGAGAGACCATAAGGTTGCAGCTGGGCTGGATGTCTCTTGTTTGTCTCCAGCAGGAGGCATGCCGTGTCGTCATTCTGGGCCTCTGTCTGTACAGTTCATCAGACATATGGCAGAAATTATCAGAGGAAGATAGAGATTACCAGTGGATTAGGGCAGATTTGCAGCCTCCAGGAGAGTCACTGTGTCTGCACTGTCCAGGTGCTTGAGGCCCCTTGCCTCATGCAGGGGCTGGGGCCGGTGGAAGTCTTCAGGCTGAGGGACTGTGGAAATGAGGGTACAGAGTCAAAAAAATCTGAGCTGGGGGCTGTCTGTGGCCAGAGGAGATGCATATCCCTCATGTCTCTGTTGCTATCTGACTGTAAATGACTGACAGTGGGTTTGTTCCACCCCTCTTCAGTGGTGATCTGCAGGTGTCGGGGAGTGCTCACTGTACCTTCAGCACCGCGCAGAAAGCCATTGGAAAAGACAACTTCACAGCGATCCCAGAGGGAACCAATGGCATAGAGGAACGAATGTCTGTCATCTGGGACAAGGCAGTGGTGAGAGTCCCACCAGGGAAGGGGCAGAGTGGGCAGAGGTGGTTGCCATCTCACACACCCATGCTACTGCCCCTCAGAGCTGGGCACCCAGCTTGTTCCCTCTCTGGCTTTGAGAGTCAAAACAAGCTGGAGCAGGAGAGGTGGCTGCCACAGGCTTGGGGTGAACATCCAGAAGCTGTAACTGTCCCCCCAGTTCTTGGTCTGTCTGGCACTAGTTAGTAAGATCAGCCTTGGAAGCTTGGGCGCAGCCAGCCAGCACCTTGTGTGGGAGTGAGGATGGTGCTTCTCTGGGCTCTTACTCACTCTTTCCCCACAGAAGGACTTAGTTCTCTTTGTGTGTGAGCAGGCCACTGGAAAGATGGATGAAAACCAGTTTGTGGCTGTGACGAGCACCAATGCTGCCAAAATCTTCAACCTGTATCCACGAAAAGGGAGAATAGCAGTGGGCTCGGACAGTGATCTGGTTATATGGGATCCTGATGCAGTAAAGATCATCACAGCGAAAACCCATCAATCTGTAAGTGCTCTGCTCACCTGTGTGAACGCTGGAGGGTGATGTGTGTGCTGTTTTGTAGATAGGTTGCTGGGAGCTTGGTACTGTCCTTCTTGACTCTGAGGAGGAGGGACCGAGCCCAGGCTGCAGGTAGTGCCTGTTGTGACTGGGGGTTGAATGTCCAGGTGCCCTAGGGGCTCATGAGGCTTTTTTCACCCTGGGTATTCTTCCCAATGCAGGTGTAAAGACACACATTCCTTCTTACCTTGGTTCCTCTCCCAGGCACAAATATTTTTCCTGGTTTTGCCACAGTGCTTTGTTCATGCCTTACCTCAAGCCTACATCCTGCTTTTGTCTGCTCTTAGAGTTCTTCCTCACAATGAGCTTCAAACCAGCAGGTCCTGGTTCATGCTGGGAGCCCTGGTGGGCTTTTACTGCAATGAGTGATCTGCAGGAGGCCTCTGAGCAGGCAAGGCTGTTAAAGGTGTCTTCTGCCTGCATTGGTGACTCCAGCAGTGAGGTGTAGAGACTGACCCCCCCTGAGTGGGCAGGCAGTGCTCTTGTCCCTCCTGACCATCATCCTGGGCTTGCTGCAGGTGGCTGAATACAACATCTTTGAGGGGATGGAGCTCCGTGGGGCCCCGCTGGTTGTCATATGCCAGGGGAAGATCATGCTGGAGGATGGCAACCTGCATGTGACCCAGGGGACTGGGCGGTTCCTGCCCTGCAGCCCTTTCCCTGACTACGTCTACAAGCGCATCAAAGCCAGGAGGAAGGTGAGGAGACGGGGATGCCAGGAGACAGAGCTGGGATACTGTTAGCCCAAATTGCCCTTAATAACTGATTTCCATTGCTGTTCTTGGTGGACCCTGTAAGCAGTGCTCCGAACTGCTGGTGTATTTGGAATGTACAAAATAGCTGAGGCTTGGATAGGGAGCCCTTTGTGTTAGTGGTGTGCCATGGAGGCAGATGCTCCTCAGGGTTAGCAGTCCTCATCCTGTCCCGCAGCAGGAATCGAGGGAAATGCTGTTTAAAATTAAAAGATTGGCCTAAATCGCCTTCTCCTCCCCCATTTGTGCAGCATAAACCCCATCTGGGTGACAGCCTGTTGCACTGGCTCTGCACACTTTACAGGGCAGTGGGGCTGTGCCAGGCCTCAGTGCTGCAGGACTTAGGGTGCACAGCAGTGTGAGATCCTTCTGCAGGGGGACTGAGGAGCTGATGTTCCCTGGGCTTAGAGAAGTGTCACTGTCCTCTTTCCTCTGGTGACAGATGGCAGAGATGCATGCTGTGCCCCGGGGCTTGTACGATGGACCCGTGTTTGACCTGAGCACCACCCCCAAGGGGGGCACCCCTGCGGGGTCAACAAGGGGTTCCCCCACACGTCAGACACCGCCCATCAGGAACCTCCATCAGTCTGGATTCAGCCTGTCAGGTGAGCACATGTGCTGGCTGGGCTGGCAGGGGGAAGAGCCACTGGCCATGTGTTCCTGGCCCTGGCCTGCGGCAAGGTCAGCACAAGAGTGGCTCATGGCAGGGCAAGATCCGGTGTGTCCCTTAAAGGACACGGCTGGAGCTGCAGCCTGCAGTAAAAGCCAGGCAGACTGTGGAGGCCAGCACAGCATCCCGTGCTATTCTTGCTCGTGGGTCTGTTCACAAAGATTCTGCAGAGACGTCCAGGCCACTGCAGCTCTCGGGGTTGCTGCTGGAGTTGGAGAGGGAGCAGGTTGTGGTGGATAGCCTCTGGAGGGCCTTGGCAAGACTCCAGGCTGCCTGGCTGCTCAGTCCTGTGATGAAGACGCTCTTAACTTTGCTTTCCTCGTTCCCTTCATACTTTCTTGTCTATCCCAGGTACCCAGGTTGATGAAGGCATGCGCTCAGCAAGCAAGCGCATTGTGGCACCCCCGGGAGGCCGCTCCAACATCACCTCCCTGAGCTAAATGTCCCGGCTGAGGAGGAAACAAAATCCCTGTTCAAGCAAAGGAAGAAAAATGGTACATTGGTGTTGAAGAATGAAAAGAAATAAACCTGTTCTGAAGAATCAATAAGCCTCAAGCCTTATGTTTCACAAATGCTACTTGCTACCTAGCTTTAAAGATGTTGCTTCATTTTGTTTTTGCATAGCCTTAAAGTTCTGTTGTTACTGTTGTGGGTTTGGTTGGGTTGTGTTTTGCTCTTCCTCTCTGTATGCATGCTGCTCGGACAGGTTGCTCGGTTCGGTGTTGTTGGTGTTGAACGTGTGTGGGATGCCGTGGTGTGGGACAGTGGGAGTGGCCCACAGGGCGACCCGGCCAGGTGAGGGGCAGGGTCTGGCCGGAGGCAGGATGCCAGATGGGGAGGGCAGGTGCACTGAGCTCGTAGGGAAAGGTGGGTCTGTCACATTCATCTCCTTCATCTCCACCCAATGCTCTGGCGTTTCATCACGAGGCCTGTGGGGGAGCTCGAATCATCTCTGTAACAGCTGTCACAGCACCTTGTGTAAGGAGTTTTACTACTTTGTACACTTTATTAAAAAAAAAAAGTTGTTCCTTCAAACTACTCATGTTGTCAGCTGTCTCTTCTCTTCCTCGGGCTGCTGCTGCTCGGCAGGGGCGGTGCCCAGCTGCACCTGCAGGGAGCTGGGCTGGTGTGGCAGAGGGGTTTGGGTGCTCTTGGGGTGGAGGGGGCTGCAGCAAAAGGCTGTTGGGGCAACACCATGCAGTGCACACTGCTACACGTGCTAGGGTGTTGGTGTAGCTTCTACATTGCTAAGAGTGGGAAAAATGTCAAATGAGGAGGTGAAACCTCAGGCCTGTCAAAGCATTTAAATAATAGCATCATTCCTGGCATTAGCAGGAATCTGCAGTAGCAATGCTTGGCCAATCTCTGTCTTGGCAAGATCACACCAGCAGTCCCTGCTTAAATCAAGTGTGATTTCAGTGGTAGAGAGGGGTAAGCTGTTCTCAGAGGTGGTTGTTCTGATTGTCCTCCCTGTGTGGGCCTCCACTTTCTGTCAGGGTCTCTTGCATGCTGTCATGGTGGGGTCTTACCCTTGGGGATAGAAAAGGATGATTGAGCTGTGATGGAAAGCCCAGGCAGTGCCAAGACCCCACCGAGGCACTTGGAGCTTCCCACTGCCTGGCACCAGCTGCCACTCACTCCACAGCTCCTCCAGCCCTGAGTGCCCCAAACTCCCCCAACACAGGGCCCCAACACCCCCTCCCAGCTCCCCTAGCCCTGGGCCCCCAAAATCTGTCAAAGGCTTTGGCAAGGGCCAGTGCCTCTTCTGCTGCCTCTAGATCAAAACTTACTTTTCTCTGTTGAAAACAATGAAGTCCCTCTGGAGCATTTCCAGGTGCTTCTGGAGGTGGCTGGCCTTTCACATTGGAATGGAAACATTAGAGGGATAAATTCACAGTTGACACAGAAACATTGCAAGGACAGCTTCAGTGAGACATGGCAATATTTGTAGGCACAGAGCATCTTTAGCCCTGCAGTGGGGAGGAGGCATTAAGGCTCTCTGATGCAGTAAACCAGTGGACACACATTCTGCCTTTCACCACAGGGAAGAGGGGGGAGAGTTTTAGGAATAAAGTTGGTCACAAGGGAAAAAAATATTCTGTTCAGTTTGCTGTGGTCTTGCTAGATGGCAATCACTGAAAAATGAAAGACCTCCTCGACCACATGCTTGTACCTGCTTGCTCTCACCTGGGATGAATTGCTTTTGCTTGTATCTTTCTCCTTCTTAGCCAAGCGCTTTTTTTTTTTGTGAAGAGGTTTGGATTCCAGGATCATTTCTTCCAGTTCAAAGGCTGGGTCACAGTTCAGTCTGCCTTTCTGGAGGGGAGAGAGAGGTGGCCTTAAGTGATCAGGGCCTGTCTTAAGGAGTCTCTTGTAACCTGGGCTGCATTTGGGAGCTGAATTTTGTAAAAAAAATGCACTAATTATAATTGCACATGTAGCCAAGAGCATGGCTATACTCGTGATATATACTTCTGTCAGTCCCTTCAGCAAGGAGCCATATGCAAGGTGTCACAGTGGCTCCTTTTGTGCCCCTGCTTCTGCCCTGCCCTTTGGCTGCTTTGGGGTGGCAATGAGGATGAGGACAGTGTCCTGTCTGGGTTATGCCTTTTTGAGAGTAGCTCAACAGCCCAGCAGAACTGGTCTTCAAGCAATACAGAATTGTACCCACCAAGAGAAACCTAGCAACAAGGGTGGATATACAATTAACAAATATTCATAGTTTAGCCCAACTTCTGTGGAAAACCAGTTGGGGTAGTTGGACTATTCTCCATAAGGGTTTTGTTACTTGCGTGCTGTTTTAATTCAATTTAAAAAGTCCCAGAAACATAAATCTGGTGTATGTGCTATTTACTGTTAACAATGAGCTTGTTAGGGGAGGCATTGCAGGAGAAAACAATTCCCATGAGAGAGTGGGTGATCTCCAGGCTGCTGCTGAGCCCATCCTGGTGCACTGGGTTTTTGGATGTGGGGAGCAGCATGAGAGGGCTCACAGGCACTGTCCATCCCACACAGATGGACAACTCCATCCCAGCCCAGTGGGCTGTAACACCAGGTCTGCACCCGGAAATTCTGGGAACATTTCTAACAGGGCATATCAGTTTTGGGGCACCCACACTACAGTCTCCCTCCATTACTCTTTGCTACACACTCAGGGAAGACACAGCTCTGCCCTGGTCTCTCCTTTCTCCTTGTGACACCTGATGTTTCAGTGGAAATTTGTCAGAGCATCCCATGTCCCGGTGCTGGGTGTGAGGAACCTTTACACTCCAATGGCCTTACCATGGGAATGAATTCTGGCATTATTCTTTTCTGGAGAACAGCATCCCAGTTGACATCAGACAGATACGGGGAGGACTGAATGTCCTTCAGCTGAGAAAAACGTTTCTCAGGGTTCAGCTCGAGCAACTGCAACAAGAGTCAAAGGGAAGAGATGAGACCATCCCCACAGGGCACACATTCTGTGGAGCACAGCGAGGACACCTGGTGCCAGGGACACCTCACCAATGCTGGCATTTGGACCAGTGCCTCTCCTGCTCTGGCTCAGAGTCCCTTCACCAGGCTCACAAGCTCTGCCTCTGTTTATTCCCATTTTTACAAATTACTCTTATCCCCATTGTATGAGCAGGCAATGAGGCAGTACAGTGGCATTAAACAATTTGTCCAATGTTAAAAATAAGCATTTGTTTGGAATGGGGAGTTCCACTCAGGTGTTTGTGTTCTGCTTTAAATACTAGACCAGTAAAACATCCTTTTTTCTCACTCTATTAAAGTAATATTCTGGTGTGAAAGTATGCCTTCACACTGCTCATTTTCATAATTTTTAACGTTGCTCTAGGGATTGGTTGTGTGGAATAAAAGGGTTGAAGTTGTCTCTGTTCAATGATCATACATGGCATAAACTCCTGACACTCCTAAAACTCAGCAGGAAAACCAGATGATCCAAACCCTTTGGGGAGGGTAGGGCAAGGTGACCCCCGCAGCCCTCCTCATGCTGGCATGCAGCCAGTTACAGGCACTGTCCCCTCTGTCCCCACTGTCCCCAGTGTCCCCAGCTCCCTCTGCAGAGCTCTGCTCTCCAGCCTCACCATGGCTCTGCCAAGAACAGCATCTGCCTGGGCCAGTAAGAAATAGAGAAATCCACAGGGAATGGTTGAGCCAGGAAGGAGCCACAGTTGGCTTCATGTATAATACATAAGGCTGTTAAACCAGATGCAAAGGAGCACTGGGAAATTTAAATAACTGTGACATTGTATTATTTATTCACAAGGGAGTCTCCATGGCTTGTGGCCTGCTGTGGTCCAGGAAAAAACTGCCAGCATAGCAACAGCTAGGACATCTGCAGCAAATATTCCTGTGTTAGGCTTAATGAAATACTGGCTTCACTGAATTTTCAGCAGTAGGAGATATTCTGCAATTTCCTTCCTGGAAAATACACCATGATTCTGTCTCAGCAAAGAACTGACAGTCTCTTTTCATTAAAATGTTTTATCATCTAATTAATTAGAAATGACAGAATACATTTATATATATATATTATTTTGAACAAAAACCAGTTGAAAGCTACATTAAGTACTACTTCATTACCCACACTTAGCTGAAATTAAAATTTATTTACATACATCCCTAAAATTTGCTGCCAGTGCTGCTACTCGGGGGTAAGTGCTCAGCTTTGCTGTGACTGTGAAGCCATAGTCTTGTTTATTGAAGCTATGGCTTCATTTCAAATGGGATTTCAGCTTCAGAATTATTCCAGTAATGATTTTGAAGCAATTTTTATAGCAGCTTTATTGAAAAAAGAATTGCAGTGGAGCATAAGCCACACAGCATCAAAGGATTACAACAGTGTCAGCACTTCTTGCAAATATTCCCATTATTGGGAAAAAATGTTTCTTGAGGATTAGAAAAATGTAATGTTGGGGCTAAATTTATTGACACATATATCAATATCTGCTCAGAGTGCAAAGTCATAGAGGAGATTCTGGAAGCTGAGGCTGCTCCCGTCCTGAGCACAGCTGTCACCAGTGCCAGCCCAGGAGGCAGCGCTGCCACCACCCCCGTGCAGCTGACATTTGTCACACAGTGTGCTCTGACAGTCACTGACACTGGCCTGGACAGCCCCTCACCTTCCTGATCAGTGCCACCATGCCCGGGGACCAGGCGGCCGGGTACATCACCGCAGCTGTCCGGAGCACGCCGGCGATTTCCTCGCTGCAGCTGCTGGACCGAATGTGGTACGGCCTCTGTGGGAAACGCCACCACACAAGCACTTCAATTCATCTGCTCTCCAGACTCCTCGGGAATCCTGGTTAGAGCACAGAAGCTTCACACGGTCTCACTGTCCCGTCCTCAGCCTCCTGTGGGACATCTCTCCCTGCGTTTCCATGGCTCAGTTGAAAAAACAAAATGTCAGCAAGAACTAGGCTAATAACTGGGCATTTAACAGCAGGACAGCAGGAGCAAACTCCAGAAGTCAAAGTTATTATCCAGTGGGAATTTGCTTGCTCTTTTCAGTGTTTTTATCTTACAAGGCTATGACACAGTGCTGTGGTTAGGGTACTCCTGATACTCCCTGTAAAATGTTCTTCACTCACGCTGGGGACAATGCCAGTGAAAAGGAGACAGATGTCTCCCAACAGCAAAATCAGCTCAGAAAAGGATGTCCCAAGAAAGGTCACCAGCCTCGGGTGGGCATCAGGACGCAGGGTGACAGTCCCTTCTGCCCTGTGGCAGCGTCATGTCACTGGGACAGGTGAGCCATTGCAGAGGAGCACACGGTGCAGTGGAGCACCAGAGACTGCTCCTGCATCAACATGAGTGCACAGCCAGTGACACAGTGACACAGTGACACGTACAGGGCACGGCCAGTGACACAGTGACCCGTGTGTTTCCTCTGCTGTAATAAGCCCTGAAGCCTTGAGTTCAGCTGTGGCACCTCTGCTATAAAGCATTCACCCTCCCAGCCGTGTCCAGCACAGAGCAGCCCAGGCCATGGCCACACCCGTACCCGAGTTCTGAGCAGCTCGTAGGCAGTGACTCCCAGTGACCACCAGTCCACGGCGAAGGAGTAGCTGGTGGGTTTTGTGGAGCTAAACATTTCAGGTGCTGTGAAATAGAGGAGGAAAAAAAATTGCCTTGCTGCAATCCCAAGTGGAAATGAGCAGCACTGAACACTGACCCACGCCCTTCTCGTGCTGCCATGCTCCTGCACGTGAAGCTCTCTGTGTGTCTCTGCCCCCAAAGCCCAAAAAGAACAAATTCCTTTTGCTGACGCAGGAGTTGCCTACCATTCATTGTAAATGTGCTCCAGAATAGGAACATTCACTCCATGTAGGCACAAGGTGGCCTAAGCATCCCTTCATCTCCCCTGTGAAGTGGGACACGAACATTCCCCAGCTGCACTGAGGCATTTCTGGGGAGGGACTCCTGTCCCCACCCTGCATCCCCTCTGCAGGGTGCTCCCCATTCAAACCGTGTATGTTTTGATGTGGATCAGGAAGAAAAGAGTTCCAACCCTAATTAAAAATGTCTTCACCCGTGTCCCAGCACAGCAGACCCCCCAAGCCCACAAAATGGTGATTCAAGAACAGGTAACTGCCATTGGTTCTCACCCATGTAGGGCTTTGTGCCAGCAATGGTGGTGACAGGGCTGTCCCTCGTCAGCATCGTGGCAATATTGAAATCGGTGATGTGCACGTGTCCTGGAAGACAGAGGCCAACATGTAACAGGGATGGCTTTAATTTCACACAAGAAATAGCTCTGAATCAGAAACATAAAGTAAAATACTCCTTGGAAAGGAGTTTCCAGGTAAAAAAATCTGGTGGAGGAACTGATAGAAAATACTTCAGCTTGCAGGCTGCCTGTCTCTTGTTTCAAATATCCCCTTATTTTCCCTCTGGGGAACCAGAAAACGTAAGAGTTCTCCAAAAAAGAATTTAGTGATGATTGTTTTGAGTCTTCCCATATTTTAGGGTCAGTCTGGGGAAAAAAAATGAACTCTGTGTGTGTCCAAAGCTTTCTATATGCCTCGGAAGACAAACCTTTGCTGCCATGGGTGGAGAAAAGGAATACAGGTCACAGACAAAAGGACACTGGAGTCAAGGGTATGTCCCCAGAAAAAATACTCTGAAACCTCTGCAAGAGAGATTAAAAAATCACAGTGAGCAGAGAATAGACTCAAAACTCATTCTGAATTGTAGTGCCATTATAGAAGTTAGCAGGTTGTGTCTTCCTGGGCTGAATGCAGCTGCAGAGCCTTTTCCTCTTTTTTTTCCCTCTTCAGGGAGTGCTGACCTACATTCCCATGGCCATGGTGATCCCAGCTCCTCTCAGGAAGCCGTGTCATCCCCGTCTGAGAGGCACAGAGTTCTGGAGAATGGTGACGGGTCACCAAAGCATCCAAGAGGGAGGATGACCAAAAGCAGCCCCAAAAGCAACCCAGCAGTGCCAGGCACCCCACACACCAGGGAGGACAGGGCTCTCCTCCTGCCATCGTCTGTGGATGGGGCAAGAGCCCGACAAGGACTGAGCAAGGCAGGACAGGGGCTCCAGCAACTGGAGGCAAAGCCACTCTGCTGCCAGCTCCTAAATAAATAATCAACCAGTGCTCTGAAATTAGAGGTCATATGCTAATGGATGGAGCCTGGGCTCAGTGCTGCCAGGCAACCCTGGTCACACACACCCGGCCTCAGAGCCAGGCAGTGCCTCCCTGCAGCTGCAGCATCTCTGCTACAGCCTCTGAAGTGATCACAAATGCAGGCATGCCTCCTCCCTGCACTGACCTTTTCAAGCACCTTGCTCTAGCTGCCAAGGAAGATTTCTCACAACAAGCCAATTACTTGTTTTTTCTTAAAAAATATGAGCTAACAAAACATTTCTCTAATGAGTTACCAACTAATGAATATCAGACAGCTCTTCACTGCAAGAACTTCGCCAGGAAAAAAAATTTCACTAAAGAGCCATGGAAGAATATAGTCGAGTTTTGCCTAAGAAATACTATAAAAAAACTGAGAGCAACATTTATAACACACTTAGCCCCAAATCCTCGTCAGAGCTCTCTCCCCATGCCAAATGCTCAAGGAAAAAGAAAATATGTGAATGAGGCTTATCTACTGCACCATAATTAATTCTGTTTGTGCACAAACCCTGCCGTGACACAAGCATTGCCCTTCAAATGATGCATTTTGAGTAAGTTCTTAAAAAGAACCAAGAAAATGTTAAAATCAGGTGTGCTGGGCTCCTGACCCCAAGCAACACCAAACACATGGTTCCTGCCAGTGCCTTGTAGGGACACCATCGAGTCAGTCAGCCAAAGGAGGTGTTGGTGAAACCACCAAGGCAACCCCACAAACACCACAGCACCACAGGGTGCCCTGAAGGTACAAGGCACTGCTGCTCAAAGAGTGAGAGACAGCAAGTGGAGCACAAAGGGATGGGATGATCCTGCTCTCAGTCAGGCTGAGGGAGAGAGCACAACACCAAACCATGGCACCAGCAGGCACCAGGACTGCAGCCTGGGTCTCCTGTCTCCCACTGCTTTTGTTCACATGCAGGACCACAAGGCACCTGGCACTTACCGTGCTCATCCAGCAAAATGTTGTCAGGCTTGATGTCTCTGAGAAAAGAAGCAGAGAAGGAGAGACAGCCATTAGGCTGGAGAAGTGACAGGACACACGGCTGCTGGCAGCCCAGGGCTCTGGCAGGACACTGCACCCTCAAAGCCTTGGGGTCCCAGCTCTGCTGTTGCTGTTTGATTTGGGCCCAAGGAGTGACTGATCAAAGAGTGGGAGTTGGATCAGCAGCAGCGGGCACACTGTGCAGGCTGCAGGGGTTACCTGAGCTTACCTGAGCAGCACTCAGGTAAGTGCACCCACAGTTCACTTAGAGAGTCTTTGCCATTTTCCTCCTGTTACTTTTCAATCTGCTTCAATACCGTGTTGAGAAGGGTTCCCATTTACTCAGTAGAAATTAAATTATTTTAACATCTTTGTTTTAGCTGTTAAATGGGTTATTTTATTCCTGAGTAAAAGGACCCCACAAAATAATACTCATAGCAATGCTGTAGGGAAACACTTGGACTGAAGGGAGAAAATGTACACCTGATACTCTGAGAGAGCCACCTGAGTGACTTTACAAGACATTACCTGGCTTTAATGAGCTCATTACACCAGTCCCCAGGGAGCACCTGGCCAGCTGATACCCCAGAGAGAAGGTCCCAGGCAGGAGGAGGCAACAGGTGCAGTGACCCTGTGCCACCTGGAGCTCCCCACCTGGCCCAGGAGTTCCAAGTAAAGAAATGAGCAAGCTGAGGATTTTATCTTTAAAAATTCAATCCTTAAGATACAGTTTGAATTCTCCAAGCCACTTGCAATCAAAAGCCCACAATTTATCTAATTGTCATCTAATAGCTTAGAGTTCTCTGGCATCTTGTCACCCAAAACACTTCCAGTGGGTTATAAACACTGGTTACCCCTGGTGTCATCCCATCATACAGGTGAGTATAGGGACAGGCATCATTAGCAGAGCACAGGGAAGTGTCAGGTAAGTGGCTGATTTTACCCCTAAGCACAGCAGAACTGTTTCCTTTTTTTTTTTTTTAAATTATTATTTTTTAATTTCTAGTGTGGCTGTTTCTGATCTCCCTCAGTCTGGCATACAGCCTCTGGAATTACACCAGCACAGTAAGATCATTCTCAGGATGCAAACAATGATCAGAGATAATTCTGGTTATTTTTCATATGTATATTTCTTTTTTATAAGCTGGTTATATAATTTCCTAACCTAAAAGATATTAATATTTCCTAGTCTTTACATCTAGGTGGGAAATAATTACCGCCAGAGTTTGCTGTCTCTGCACAGCTTTGTTCAGCCAAACAAAGCCATTGCTTCTCTGTCTCCTGATGTTCCCAATTACAGCTGCTGCAGTGTAATTGACTCAGTTGAATCACTTTATCAATCAAATACGATCCCGCTGGGTAACAGTGTTAATTAAACAACCTGCATTACAGTGCTAATTAAATAACTTGCAAATTTTACAGCCCGCCATACATGTTTTGTTGTACTTGATTTACCTTATACACATGTGAAAAGCACACTGCAGCCTCACCTGCAGTTCCTCCCCCTCCTACTCACACTGGGGCAAAGATCCCTGCAGGTAAAGCACAAAAGCAGCAGCATGGAAGGGGAGACCCGAGCAGGTGGGAGCAGAACTGCTCAGGGCTCCTGTGGCTGCAGGGACAGGCAAGGGGTGACTGTGCCCTCACACCCTGGCCATGGCAGCTGGACACTGGACAGGAACAGGCACTCACCCTCCCCAGCTCCTCCAGTGTGTGCTTTCCCCACCAACAACCAGGACCATTGCAATTTTATGCTTTCCATGCTTAATTCTTATACTGCACAAGAATGCTCATCTGGAGTGGTATTTCCGAATGAAGTGACCTTCTCCCTGCAATTAGTGACCCTCACAGCCCCCCCTGTTCATCCTCCCTGACAGCAGCTAACTTGGCTAAACTCTGTGCCCCTGAGCTTTGTGCTGCCCATGACACCAGCAGAGGAGCTGTGTGTCCATCCAGCCGGGGGAAACCTCTGCCTCCTCTGCTGCTCTGCAGGTCTTCAAAGGTATGGGAAGAGCTCGTGCACTTTTCTCATTGGCTAGGAAGCCAATGGCTATCAGCCAAAAAGAAACTCTTAGCACTTCTAGAAATGGATGTACCTCATACAGGAAAAAGCTGTGTTTGTCCTCATATTTTGGTGCAATACAGAAAGGGGGCAAAGGGAGACACCTTCAAGCATGGACACAGGAGTTCTGAGTGCTGACACCTCCCCTCCCTGGACCAGGATGGATATTAATGAGCTACAGCTAATTTAAACCTATCAGAGACAAATTTTTGCAGGATCAGTTGACAATCAAATATGCTATTTCACAGCTACCCCAGAGGGACAAATCAGATGGTCTCTGCTGTATATAAAATAGTTTTCTTGGGGAAGCCTTGCGTTTCACATAAAAGCAAACACACGTGGCAGGATATTTTGTTTACCACTTAGGCTTCTGTTTATCATTTCACATCAAGGAGGAATATGCCTGCCCACAGCACAGCCTGTGGCCTGGCTGACCTGTGGATGATGTGCCTGCTTTGCAGGTAGTCAAGGGCCAGCACCAGCTCACAGATGAAGAGTTTCACAGTTCCCTCTTGGAACCGCACATTTTGTTGGAGATGGTAGCGCAGGTCCCCTCCAAGCAGCAGGTCCACCACCATGAACATGTCCTCCTCATCCTGGAATGAGTACCTAAAACAGCACACACATGGTTCAAGGACAGTGGCATTGAAAAATGACAGGTAATAAAGGAACACGTGGTACCTCTGGGAATACTCATAATTTCTTGGAATTTTTCACTTGGGAAATTACAATTTCATGACCTTTCCATGCTCCATTTTTCACTATTGTCACACTTGTGACAATAATTTAGTCTCAGATCCATAAGAGAGTCAGAGCAGATTGTATGAACAACTCAAGATGGGCATTCTGCCTTCTTCGAGCACCAATGGGAAGTGAGCCCAGAAGCAGCACAGAGGAGCCCTGGACCAGCCCCCTGCCCAGAGCCCTGTCCTGGAGGTCCCTCTGCCAGGCAGTCTGTCTGTGACCCTGTGTGCTCCACACCACAGGGGTGCAGCTGGTCTCTGCTGCTCCTCTAGAAGTGACCTCATTTGATGGACTGTGTCCCTCTGAGAGGGGCTGACAACCAGCCAGGAGCCCTTTGCTCATGGCTTTTTCCTTATCAAGGTAGCACTGATTGCTTGATGTGATGACCAGCACCACAAGCCAGACCACTGCTCCACACGAAGCTTTCAATCTGTGTGTCACTCAGAGTGCAGGCAAGCCACAGGAATGCTGAAGGCATCCTGAAGCCAAGGACAGCATGGCAAGAACAGCAGCAGGACACTTGGATGGTTTGCTCTGCTCAGATCTCTAAATACACACACACTGGTCAGCTCTCAGCTGCTGAGCGAGCTTTGCCTGGAACTTTCTGTTCAAGTAGGAAAGACAAGTTTGGAGACATGCTATGGGAGGTGCAGCTGCACCTTTACCATTCATACCCCAGTTAGAGCAGCTCTAAATGGCAACAGCAGAAAATACCAAGAGTTCAGTGGTCTCAGAGGTGCCTGCAATTGACTGCTCTGACTCAACCAGTGAGCCAAGGAGCCACCTCTTACCATAAATTAACCAAAAAGGGGTGTTCCAGGCCCTGCATAATCTGCAGCTCCTTGAAAACATTTCTGACTTCATTACGCTCCACACACTTCTGTTTGTTCACGTATTTCATGGCGTACATCTTCTTGGTGTCAGTCTTCTGCACCACACAGACCTAAGAGAGCAATCAGGATAAACCAGAGATGATTTGACAGCAAATTTGGGCAGGTGAGACTCAGTGACAGGAATGTTTTCCAGCAGCTTTGGCAGTGTCCACACTGCCAGGGCACAACTCCACCCACCAATGCTGCAACACTGGACACTGCCTGGGAATTTCTTGGGAATTTCATCCAAAGAGAAATTTTTGGGGAAGATGAGAAGAAATAATTTATCATCACCACATGGGAGACAGGGAATCACAGAGAAGTCGACATTTTATTTAATGTCACTCACTAACCATTACATCCATCCCTCCCACACTCATTACTGTTGGGAAGAGCCCCCTCCACCAGAGAACTACAGGTGAAACATCAAACACTGGGACCAGCACCTGATCCTCACCTTCCTGAGAAGTGTCACTCAGTTCACAGTTAATCTTGAATTCCGTTTAAGGGGTACTGGGCTTTGAATTTTAACCTTTCTTATATGTCACCAAATCTAGAAAGAAACATGACTTCAAGGAAAGCCTCAGAGCCTGTGAGAGTGCAGCACAAAACAGACTTTGTTTACACAATAGCTCAGGAGTTTGGGGTGAACCTGATGCTTAATAACAAACACTGTGCCTCACAGAGAAACATTTTCAGTCTTTCATTTTAATCTCATGGAACACGATTTGTGGCTACAGAATGGATAAGGAATTGGCCTCTGATTCCTTTCTGATTACCAGGAATTGAAGCTCAGGTCAAGGCTCTCTGATAATGCATGAGCTTTGGTTCTGTACTCTCATGTGAGCCTCCAACTCATCCATTTCCACCCAGTTACATCTCCAGCTGCCCACATGGTGATTAGTTCCCAAAACACTCACTTTTCCAAAGCTGCCCTTCCCAATAGCTCGCAAAATCTCAAAATGGTCGAAGGTAACTGCAAGAAAGAGTAACATTTCAATTTTAAATGACTAAGCAAACATTTGACAATATTATATTATTTCTACTTTTTCTCCCTATGAGCTGATAAAAATGAGATACCCCAGAAATGTTCTGTTCCTTTTGAAGATTTGTGTGTTGTTTAAACTTGGTGTGTTTAACAGGGTTTTTTTTCCTCTTTGGTTCAACTGCAAAGGTTCAACTGCAAAGGCAAGTTCCTTAGGTCAGCCTCTGTCAATGGCAGATCAGGCAGGAAATCACCAAGTGGCCTCACCTTGCTCCTGCTGAGTCCATCAAACCCTTATATCATGTGAGGATATTGCCATTGCCTTTGCAGGTATGATGGCACAGTCTAACCACAGCAAAGTTGACGGTGACCAGTTACAGCACTTGGAAGGAACACAAGCTTTTAGGCACAGATGCCCCTTCTCAAATCTGGAACAGCTGTAAATATCAAAGCAAATATAAGGTGCTGCTGATTGAGTTTCAATGGATCTGTTTACCCGTGAGACCATCTGGGAGAAGGGTGCTGGATACCTGCAGAATAAAAAGGGAAGATGCTTATCACCTGCAAGGGAAGATGAGAGGGTTGCTTGCCTGGGGGAGAGGTCAGCTGCAGAAGTCCTGTGCCATGACCCACAGCCACAACTGTGGGGAGAGGGGGATCTCTGGGCCCTGGCACTCATCTATTTTATGTTTATTACTATGTGTTTGTTTTTATCTACATAAATACATATTGTGTAGTTATTGTGTATTGTGCATATTGCTGTTGTACCCGGGTGAAAGCCCATATGGCAGTCAGCAAGCTGACTCATGCAACAGCAAATATATTTATGGAGCAATCTTTTAATGTCTGTCTCTGTAATCTTGGCAGCACAGGGACCCTGGCCTCCAATGCTGCTCCCAGCAGTATTTTTCCAACTCCTTTTCAGCCAACCCAACCTGCAGGCTTGGCCTCCCTGTGCCTGCAGGCAGCCCTGCCCAGCTGGGCAGCCACCAGGAGCACCCACGGGAGCATCCATCACTCCAGCACCCTCCCACCGTCCTTCCTACCAGTCCTCCCTGCACTGGGGCCTCCAGAGCAGCAGCATTTTGTCCCTGCCTTCGAGGTGCCTGGCAGTGTCCCAGGGACTCCCCAACACCAAACCTCTGCTGGCAACGTTGCTGTCAGAGCTGCTGGGAGAGGAGGAAAAGGACCCCAAGAGCAGACTGCAGCTCTGTAGGGACCAGGGGTCACTGCTGCTGCTCCTGCTGACCTCCACACACCTCTGCTGACCTGGGGTGCCCAGGATTTGCAGTCTCAGCACGGGCACGGGCTGGCACCCTCACAGTCAGTCTGCACTGAGAGCTCTGCAGTCCCAGACAGCAACCAGGGAAAGTTCTTACCATCCTCATTCCCATCAGAGGGTGGGGACTTGCTGGAGGTGTTTGCCCCCATGGTGTGCTCAGCCAGGCTCAGCACTCTCCACTGCTCTGGGCTGTGCTCTGGTGCAGTGCTGCCGTGGGTCAGTCCTGCCACGCCTTGGCCAGGTCCTGCTGACACATCCTGCAGAAGGCAGGAAGAAAAGTTCACCATCACTCAGGATGAAGAAACATTTACAGCCTGTGAATGTCTCACTGGAGGCTCTAAGGACAAGACTGACTGACAGAGAAAAGCACATTGTAATGGAGCTCACTAGAGAAACCAGTAACACCATAACCTTGCAGCTCAGGTCAGAACTGATTCCCACTACAGGAATGGCAGGAACAGACCAGCAGACACAAAGATTCAAGGATCTGGCTCATGTTTGCTGTATCATCCAGCACGTATTTTGTAGCTCCAGGGATGACAAATTATAGTGAGGCCAATATCGAAAATAATGGACATACTGACTTGGCTAGATAAAACCAAAAGTCACTTTTGACTACTGAGGTCCTGTGGAAGTGTAAAAGCTATGGAAGAAGGAATTCGAAGCGTCAATCTTTTGATGTAAGCAGTTAAACAAGTCTTTCATTTGGGAAAAAAATCATACCATTCTGGTATTTCTAATGAAAAGATTCCATGCAAAATCAAGGTACAGTTTTCACTCAGGTTCTTTAGAATTTTTTTTTTTATATGAACTATGAACAAAAGAGCAAACCTGATTTCTGCTTGGTGCTGGCTGCAGTGACTGGCTTTGCTCTCCCACTGCAAAGGGACAGGTCTGTTCATCAGCAGGGAGCACAGGAATTTTCCCATCTCTCCTGACATGTATGGGAATAGTGAAGCATAAAACTCTGTAGAGTTTACTGACACTTGAGAGAGCCTGAACACAGGTACAGCAGCCACTATATTTTTTAAGCATTCACATGCAATGCACCTTTATGTGCTTATTTTTGATACTGATATTTCTGTGACATACAACTTTATTCCTTGTTGGAAGTACAAAGCCCTAAAAGAACAAAACGAGGGAGTAACAGTGCAGCAAGATCTGGACTGGGTCCAGCCCAGAGCATTCTCCAGGGCATCCTTATGTTCACCAAACATTTTCTCAGATCTACACTTTGGAAATGCCTACTAACTAACTTCACTTTAAATTAACAAAACTATGGTACTAAGCAGGAAAGGGAGGAATCATTAGAAAGATGCTGGAGAAGAGAGAATTATTGGGAACTGGGTCTGTCATGGGATACTATGAGTTACCCCACCAGCACACACAGCTCCTTCTTTCCAGCTAACCAAAACAAAATCTTAATTTCCCATCTCAGAACTGAAACGAGATTCAGCAACAAAACAAATGAAGCAGCAAATGTTTACGATTCCCATCAGTGCTTCTGAAAAGAAGAGATCGAGCCTTCAGTCTCAAACAGAGCCACAGCAGCAGTAACTCTTTTTTGAGCCCCAAAACTTACTCTTCAGAGTAAAAATAGACCTTCAGATGCAACAGCCATAAATCAGGTTCCCATATCTCAGGTTCCCAAGGAAACTTCTTTGCATAGCGCTTTGGAGCCAAGTTCGTTTCAGAAAATACATAAATACATACGAGCCCTGAGGAACTAGCCTGAGTAATAATTACAAGGATTTGCACCTTTACAAGTGTAGCTGGGGCATGGAAATGATAAATCTTTTACTGTTTCATGCTGCAAAGTCACAAAATTATTAAAATCATTACTTTTTCTCGGGCCAAATTTAGTAGTGCCTCCACACTAACATGATGCTCAGCCGGACCCTCGCTCCATCGGCGCGGCAGCAGCTCCGCTCCGGATCAGGCACAGCGGGGATTTGGGGTAATCCCGGCTCCCACCCGAGCCCGCAGCACACCCGCACCGGCCGGACACGCCTTAGTCCCGAGAGATGAACGCAAACCCTAAACAAAACCCTAAACACAGCCCTAAACACAGCCGAGGAATGCAGGCACTGGCGTGGTTTGCGTTGGCACCGCGAGCAGGATGTGCCCGGAGGGGACGGGCCAGTGCCAGAGCCACGGGCAGCGGTCACTCCGCTACAGCCACCCCCGAGGGCAGTGCCGGAGCCCTGCAAGGGGACAGCTGCCTCCAAGGGCTCACCGACCATTTCCCTCACCACCTCGGCACTACCCGAGCCCTGCTCCGCCGCGGAGCTGGGACTGGGCGGTGACACAGCCCGAAGGGACATCACCCTGAGCTCTGGTCCCAAAGAACGAACGATGACCCTGAGCCCTCCCCCGCAGCCACAAGGGCGCTCGGGAAGGACGAGGGGAGGTCCCCGAGTTTCTCCATCAGTGCACCGGGCACTGTGGGTGTCTGCTCCGGCTCTCCTCGCAGCAGTCACGGCCACGGCAACGCGACCCCAGCCCGAGCCCCGCGCGTCCCGAGCCCCGCCACGGGGACAGCGCTCAGACCCCGCTCCGGGGACACAACCGGGGAGGCGCCTACCTGGGGACAGCGGAGCGCAGGCACCGAGCAGCCCCGGCCCGGGCGGCACCAGGCTGCGGGACGAGAGGAGCCGCGGAGCCCAGGAACCGGAGCGGCCCCGCCCGCGGGGTCCCGGCCGGGCCCCGGTGGCGGCGGGAGGAGCCTGCGGCACCGCGAGCGACGCTCGGACTCGCCGCGCCCCCAGGCTGGTGTCCCTGTCCCCGCCCTGCGGCGACGAGCGACAGTCCCTCTGTGACCCCACTGCCCGAGCCCCTGTGCCGCCCCTCGCTGCCCGGGAATCCTCGCTCTCCTGCCAGCCTCGGGCCCTCTGCTGTTTTTGGAAGCGGGATGCGAGCTCTGCCTTCCGTGCCCAGTGCATGAACCCCCCACACCCGCCTGGAGACAGCGCACACAGGGGACAGCGCACACAGGGGACAGCGCACACAGGGGACAGGGCACACAGGGGACTGGGCACACAGGGGACAGCGCACACAGGGGACAGCGCACACAGGGGACAGGGCACACCGGGGACAGGGCACACAGAGGGGACAGGGCACACAGGGGACAGGGCACACAGGGGACAGCGCACACAGAGGGGACAGGGCACACAGAAGGGACAGCGCACACAGGGGACAGGGCACACCGGGGACAGCGCACACAGGGGACAGGGCACACAGGGGACAGCGCACACAGGGGACAGGGCACACAGGGGACAGGGCACACAGGGGACAGCGCACACAGGGGACAGCGCACACAGGGGACAGAGCACACAGGAGACAGCGCACACAGGGGACAGCGCACACAGAGGACAGCGCACACAGAAGGGACAGGGCACACAGAAGGGACAGGGCACACAGGGGACAGGGGACACAGGGGACAGGGCACACAGGGGACAGCGCACACAGGGGACAGGGCACACAGAGGGGACAGCGCACACAGGGGACAGGGCACACAGGGGACAGGGCACACAGAGGGGACAGGGCACACACACAGGGGACAGGGCACACAGGGGACAGCGCACACAGCGGGTCCCGTCCACTCTGATCTCGCTAGGGCCGAGCGCCGGGGTCAGGCTGCCTCCCCTGCCCGTTCGCATTCCCCCTGGAAGGATCCCATAAGAAGGGAGACACCACATTTCCCACCCTATTTTCCATACTCTTCGGACGCTGGCTTCTCTCCTCTCATTCCTGAGTGCCAGGAGCAGGCTCAGGCTCTCAGGCTCTAAGGAAGAGCAGTCCTTGCCCCAGGGCAGACAGAAGTCGGAGCAGGTACCCAATTTTAGCGATATTCATGTATTACTTAGAGAAGAACCAATAAGCTGGAACACGGCTGGGCCTCCCCTAAAGTACCTAAACCAATTCAGATCGTCTGAAATCCAGACCCATGGACTGCAGAGGAAGAAAGAGGCTGGATTCCTGCAGAGCTGGGTTGGGCCAGGGAACATCTGTCCTCAACACCCAGCTCTGAGGTGAGAACAAGTACAAGGCTCTGGGGGCAGGTGAGCTCTAGGCTGGGACACCAGCTCCTGTCCGGGGAGGGGACCTGCACAGCCCTGCAGCAAGGTGGCACCCAGCAGTTACCACACAGAAATCGAGTAACAAAGTCATTTAAAGGAAACCATCTGTGCTGGGTAGGATAAGGTGCTCACACTGCAGGGAATTGTTAGTGATTTATCTACAGCTCCAGCATCAGGACATGCCCAAGATTTCCTTCCCAGCCCAAGACAAAACTCTACCTTTCAGAGGCTCCACCTGTGGTCTTCTGCGTGGCTGAAGAAGCTTTTCCTGAAAAGACTAAAATCTGCTGGGTTGAGAATCCTTTCTATTTGACTTCCCACGAGTGATTTACATGAAGCTTGAAAAATTCTACCTTAAGTAATTAGAATTATTTTCTAAACATTATTCTTCAGCTTTTATTTCCAACAAAAGCTTCAATACAGGACAAACCCAGTAAAATTAGCTGAAACAGTAGTGGAAATATTAGAAAAGTAGTAGTCCAGAGCTGTTCTCTGCAGAGTGGGTCATCTGGAGAGTTTCAGGATCTTGTATGTTGGCAGAAATTAAATATTAAACTAATTACTGAGCAAATGAGAGGACAGAAGGCAGCTCTTCTGCAACAGCTCCTGTAGAACAGCCAGCTCTGTTTCCCACTGGGCAATGGGAAAACACCCTGCTTGGTGCAGCAGAGGGATTAATTTTCCATAGGAAATAGAGAGCCTCGTGTCCCAGAGCTGGGGCTTTGGTCTGCAATAAAAAGAGAGCACACTTAGAAAGAAAAATCAGTAAAACATTTCCCCCAGTTTTCTCAAGAAATGGAGCTTTTCTACTGTGTCAGCTCACAAACAGGAGGCATGTCCCAAGCCGGGGAATTTTTTCACTCGTGCTAGAAAAAGGAACTCAGGGAAGTGAAGTGAGTTCTCAGTCACCCGTCATGTACAGCAGCCACTGCCAGCTGTCCTGGCTCGAGAAATGGGAGTGCTGTAGTGGATCTCTGGTGCCTTCTAATGGAGAGGAGGCACAGCTTATCTCTCTCCTCCAAAAGGCTCCTAACACCAACCCAAACACTCCTCCAGCACATGAACCTCAC